CCAGCACACAATCAATCCACGCATTCAAACAGCGTTTATTTATACTCTATAGAGACGTCGTTGGGACAGTCACAAAAATAGCACACTAAAATGACACAGTAACCAATCACAGCGAAGGATTTTCCTGTTGGGAAATGTGATCTGAAGGTCAACTGATCGGTCCATGAAATAAATCCAAAATAAAGTTATTTATCAAGCTCGTTCTGAGAATCTAACATCCCCAACAGTCTTGTTAAAGAAAGTCAAAACCAAATCGTCAGGTTTTCTTCCTAACCCTCTGAGTCGACCAGATGATTTTATGCACTGTACAGTTTTGATCAAATGTCAATCTTCGATATATTTATTTTTCTTAGAAACTTTATTAGTGATGCTTCAATAATTCAATAAATTAAAATAGAATAATTAAACAAAAGATTTGTTCTCACGTCAAACTTTTTAAGAAAAAAACATTGATGAAAACAGATTACAAATCAATGTATTTCGGTTGCTATAGTGATTAATCTTCAAGTTTATATTATACATTTCAATAAAATTGAGTATGTTTTATAAAAAAACAGTACAGCACTTATTAAAGTAGTAAATAATATTCAAAGTTTAAGTGGGTAATTGAAAATCATTCTGTCTCTATTTTTTTCTAGCAATAAAAATAATCTAAATTGTCAAATACAATAAGAAAAGTTTAGTTTAACTTCTCATAGTAAGAGAAAGCTTACTTGTATATTGAAAAGTCACTTTATATGTAGATAGATAGATTGACCTAGAATTGTAATAGAGTATCAAAATTAATTATCTGTTTATATCGAAGACAATGCGTGAGGTTACACAAAATCCTTAGATTGATCAATGTTAGACGTTACCATGTTAGATGGTTCAGTGTTTAAGCACTCGCGCGCAAGACGGATTATTTCGGCTTCGATCCCTGCGAGTAGCAGGAGTCTCGGATGTGCATTGTTGATGAGTCCCACATCACCAAAAGCAATGGATTAAGTTTGCGCAAAATCATGGATTCACTGAAGTTGGATGCTGACTCACTGATCAAAACGTTAAGCATTGACACGCAAGACCGAAGGTGTTGGGTTTCATTCCTGCTTACGAGGTCATAAATGCATATAACGGATGAGTCCTACATCAGGAAGAAACAATTATCCCGTGTTTCCAAATTTTTAATATTGGTCTAACGAAAACTGATTCACGATTTCAATATAAATGTGAAACAAAATTGTTGTTTTATTCACTTTCAAGTTACTTCACTATCAATATTGATATCAGTTGATGATGCTCTTGAAATTAATACCCGTGCATTTGTACGAAATCGATATATTCAGTTAGAGCTTTGAAGATTTGTGTTTTTACACATTTGAAATCATCAATCAGTCATTGTTAGACCACCATTAGAAACCTGGAAGCATTGAACGGTCGTTTCGTCCTGGTATGGGACTCACCAGCAGTGCGCATCCACGACTCCTGCGCCTCTCAGGATTCGAACCTGAGGCCTTCGGTATTGTGCGCGAACGCCTAACCATCGGACCACTGGGCCGGCATCCTACGGTGTCTAACTCTGATTGATCTGCGGATTTTGCCCGACCTCACCCATTTGTCTTTGGTAGTTACTGCCTACACCCGACAGGGTTGTACACCATTGATCGGTATATGTTGAATTGGTCTAGTTCAGAGGGAAATGTGGTTACTCAATTAGGATACTGTGCATGCAAAAGTCACTATACTATCAATTCTTTATATATTTTAAAAATTCCCGAAAGTAGATAGTATTTGACTAGTTTAATGAAATCATTTTTAAAAAAAGATTTAAGTTTTGGTCTTGAATGAAATCACAACTGTACTCAACTGAAGAATTCCGTACTAAATTGAAGTAGCCATTAGTAGTATTCATAACAGGGTTGTGGAGATTGTTGAGTTACTTTGAACTATTCTATATAGATCAATGTTAGACCACCATTAGAAACCTGGAAGCACTGGTCGACCATTCTGTCCTAGTATACGACTCTACAGCAGCGTACATTCACAATCCCTGTACACGGACCTTTAGTTTCGCTTGCTAACACTTAGCCTCTAGACCACTTAGCCACCATCTAATTGTATTAATGTTTAACTTCAGTCAGTCCACACGTGAGACCGAAAGTCCTGGTTTCGATTCACTCCTTGCAGGGTCGTGCATACGCATTGCCGATGATGACAAATCTCTTATCCACAGCTGCCAGATTTCTAATAGTAGTCTAACACTGACCGATCCACAATTTCAATGTAGATCTAATTTTTTTTTCGGCCTTCATTCTTTTACTTTGGTTCACCTGAAATTTCATTTGATTTCTTAACAAAAAAATCCTGTGATAAAGTTTTTTTTAAAAATCGATAACAATAAAAAAGAAATCATTACGTTTTTTTGAGATAAATATTCATTTGAAATTGATTTATTATTATTATTATTATTCTAATTCTTATGATGATGATGATGATGTTGATTAGTGTTCAGCACGAAATCAGTCTAGATTTTTTCCTTTTCCAAAAAAAAAAATCTCGTTGTCTTGTATTATTTGTCCTTCATTTTGCTTTTCTCTCTACAGTCTAATCTGTATGCAATTTTTTTGGAGGCTGACTACATATGTACGTACACACGTAGACACACACACACACACTGGTAGAGTGAGAGTGAGAGTGAGAGGCAGAGTGAGTGATTGAGGCAGAAGACTAATACTAATGGAACTAGGCACTATTTCCATTACACCGTGTAGAAAATCTTAAACTTTCTATTGGGCATTCTTGAAGATTTAGAATAAAAAAGAAAGCAAATACTGTAATAATAATGATTATATTAAACGTTATAATGATGGACAGTTTATATTGAAAAAGGAATTCACAAATTTTACTGTTAGTTAATAGAAATGTGGAATGAGTGTGTTTTTTTTCTACTTCCAAAGAATATATATAGATTGTGTGTGATTGAGAAAAGAAATTTATAGATATATATATATGGAGGGTCTAATAAGTCCTTCTTAATAAAGGATGTACTTGATTTATTTATATAAAGAAGGCTTTCTATTATCGTTTCCTTATGATGACCTATTTCAAATTTTGCTATGTGAATAGATTGATAGCCTGTAGCCATAACAAACTATGTTAATCAATTGTGTTTCTTTTTTTTGGATAAAATATGTCGTAGAATAATACTCCTTAATGGGGTGATCTTATTGTACTTATGAATCTATCAACATGAGATTTATACGGCTGTAACACAATGTTTGATTTTTACCCAAGAGTAACGAATTCATGTTGTAGGATGTAGATCGCTCAACTTTCAAACATTAAGTTAGAGTTCCGCAGTTTGGTTAATACAATCGGGTAATATCATACGGTCGTCTGGTATAACGGAGAGTAAGAAGAATTCATGCTTGCTTTTTTCAAATGCTCTTATACGATCACATAAATAAAGCCACTGTCGGGAAAATCCCACTCATCGTCTTCTTGTAGTGAGAGTGTTGTTTACGAAATTGAGAGGAAGTAAAGCGAATTTGTGTTCAGGGCTAAAACGGGGTTAGTATGAACGAGAAATCCATCTAGGCGAATTGGGAAATCCTGATTTCAAACCCATGGTGCACATCGGCTCCATAGTCTTGATGGATCGAATCGCGAATGAACCTATTGTTCATTATCTGCTACTGTGAGACTGCATTTCCTGATGTTGCTCTATCGTCTTATGGGTTAGATTTCTAGGTCACAGGCTCGGTGAAGAAAACCATTTGGTTCAGTTTGAGCAGGTGGGCAGTATCCCAACACACTCAGTCAGTCAGGTACGACGTAAAACATAGTACGTACGTACATCAGTTCAGTTTGCCATACCACATCACCATAGAGACGCAAATGTCAATTCGAATCCCATAGTGTAGAGATAGTAAATGCATTAGCGGTTATGGAGAAGATTAGGGTTCAAAGAAATTATTCAAGAAGTATAATTCAGTGAAATAACTTTAGAAAGAGAAAGATAGGTGATGGAAAATTTGAAAGGCTACAATTTGAGAGAACACAAAGATAGGATGCACCTGAGCCATTGCAAACGATATTGAGCCATGTCATTATTCAAGGTCTCTAACCATCAGTTAGTATCATCTCGCGGAACCTAACAAGGTAGCCTACATCTACCGACATGACTCAGTCCACTTGTCAATGACTTCATGGATTCGTGTCATGTTTTGTTCTGGCCGCCCATCTCTTCCAACCTACCCCTACACTACAAAACAAAGCTCATCGAGGCAGTCGGTGGTTAGGCATACGCAACACATGTCCAAACCATCTCAACTGATGAAGTTTCATTGCTTCATCTACTGACCTGCCATTCTTACTTAGCACCCGATTCCTAATAACAGCATTGCTTACTCGGTTGTCCCAGGATACACGAGCAATGCTTCGAAGACATCTATAAACGAATACTAATAACCTACGAATATCTTCTACTCTTACCAGCCATGTTTCGTATCTCAGCGAACTCACAAGTTCAATAATTTATGTGACGCATTTAGAAGGTAATTTGTTTAAAAAGTCCACTCTAGTGTTAATACTGATATTGAAACCTGAATACAACATTTTAAACTGTAATTAATTATCTATGAAGTTATTAGATTATGTTATCGACTAACTGGTTTACTCAAAATTTTGTTATGGTGAAGCTTCGTTCTCCAAGCTGGATATTTTAATTGTGGAGCTTTCATTGTTCTTTTGAACAACATCATCAGTAGCACAAACTTCAAGTAGAAGTCTCCCGTTAAGTTTATGCTGCTGTTAATGTTGTTCTGTTTGAACCATGAATGTTCCACAACCAAAACATTCAGCTCATACCACGAAACTCCACTATAACCATCCAATTGAGCTAAAACTTTTTTCCACTCTTTGCCATGTTTCTGTTTTCTCTTTATTGATATACACATTTGATTCTAATTTTTTCCCCATCATATTTTCATTTTAGATTACTTTTTATGAACATTTTAATCATGATGAAATTGTCCAAGTACACCATGAAACGTAACAAATCATCAATCAAATCATTACGTAATTTAAAAATTATCATTAGTTTCTTCTTATATTTTTGTTCAATTAATTCATCAAAATGTTTTGCTGATTATCAAATGAATTCAAACAGAAATCAATTATCATCAGAAATTAGCTCAAAGATGAATACAGCTAAGAACTATGATCATTTATCAAATAATTTTCATGAATATACCGATTATTATACAAATACAAAACATGATTCACTCATAGATAATCATCATTTAATGCTGTCTTCATTGAATGATGTACTATCTTCATCTCCATTATTATCACCTTCAGCTTCTTCTTCTTCTTCTTCATCTTCTGCATTGTCGTCACCTGCGTCATCATCTTCGATGTCTGCGCCATCACATGGTGAAATAGAATCACATCGTTGTGAACCGATTACATTAGTATTATGTAAAGGGATGTATTATGAGTATACACGACTACCGAATATGTTTCATCATGAAACACAAGAAGAAGCTGGTTTAGAAGTAAGTTAGTTTTCTATTTTTTGTTATTGCTTTTTCATAGTTTCAACGGATTTTTTCTAACTTTAGACATTGATCAGTCGGTTAAATTATCAAACAGTGTAGTAGGTTTTGTTTGATATTGATTAGGTAAATGTTTATTACTGAAATCATAAATCAATTATTGTTAGACCAGAATTAGAAACCTAAGAAGCACTGAACGATCGTTTCGTCCCGGCATGGGGCTCATCAGCAGTGCACAGGATTCGAACACAGGACCTGCGGTATGGGCGCGAACGTTAAGTCTCTGGAACACTGAGTTGGCACCCAACGGTGTTTGTATCTAAAACTGATCAATCTAAAGATTTTGCACGACCCTACCCACTTGTCTTTTCTAGTTACTACCTACACACTACAGGTTTGAACTCCACTGGTCACATTTTCTTATCGGAATTCGGAGAATTTCCTCACAAATCTAGTCATTAGTGACCGCATTATATAATTTTTTATTATTATAGAGTTATGGAGATTGTTGTTTATAGCTGAATTACATTTTAGTTAAAGAATAGTTCGTAGAATGTATTTTTTTATCTCATTTTATATTCCCATTCGTTCATTACGACTGTTACCCTCAATGGAGCATAGGCCAACCACCAGTATTCTCCCAACGAATTTATACATACCACATAGTTAACTGTTACATAAAATTTTGAATATTATTACATTCATCGAACTTAGTAGCTTAAAGGATAGAATCTTTTTAGTGGCCTGCGATCTGACACTTATATAGTGCTATGAAATAAATCTTCCTCTTTCAATTTCCGTATATCATACTCAGACGGATGGCGGTATTAAGAAACCAAATATGGTTTTGCAGAGAAATTTATTCCATGTATTCATTTAGGCAGACAGATATGAGCGAATAAAAAGCGTACAAGCAAAGCGAAGTAAAAAGTGGAGAAGGCGAGTAAGCCAACTCAATGCGAAGAAACATGACTAAGTATATTTAATCATAACAAAATAAGCTAGACATGTAATACATAAAGTGAGCGGCACACAAACACACTCGAATAAAAACAACCAAGCTTATAAACGAATGATTAACAAGGTGGAAAGATGAGTGACTAACTCTAGAGGAATGGATAAGTTAATTTGTCCAAAGGTTAAGTGGAAGAAGCCCTGCGGGCTCAACATAAAAGTACACTCACTACAAATTTCATTACTGTTCTCGGTATGCCAGTCAGTTGATATGCTTGAACTATTACAAGTTCACCTTACTAGGTAAACTGAGCGAAGAAAAATGATACAGTGACACGATAGGCTATTCTAATCCGTTTTTCCCCGGCCCGGCTGACTATATCAAGAAGTTTTGATAAGGTGTACGTAGAAAGTGTATTCTACAAGCACCCAGAAAATATGAGAGCGACAAGCACACAAATCCAGCTTATTTATACATGATAGAAACGCCCTTGAGAGAGCCACAAAAATAGCGTATTAAAATAATCCATTAACCAAGGATGTAAGCTGAAGGTCAACTAAGCAGCTTATGCCCGAAAACATAAATAATCCAAAATTAGAAATCTTTACAAATGAGTTCTGGGGTTCTAACATTCCCACACAATTCTAGATAATATCATTGACACAACTTTATTCTAATTATCCATTTATGCTACAAACCGATGCCATCATTCGTAGAAAAACTCATAAATGATCATAACAAATAGTAGATTTTCTGATAATCATTTAAGAAAAATAAATTCTTTTCCTAATGAGTTGATTTATCAAAAACTATGTAGTTTATTACTAAAATCATGAATCAATAATTGTTAGATCACCACTGGAAACCTGAAGGCCATTTCGTTCAGGCATGGGACTCTTTAACAGTGCACGTCCACTAATCCTGCTACTCACAGGATTCGAACTCAGGGCCTACGGTCTTGCACGTAAACACTGAACCTCTGGACCACTGAACTGGCATCCAATGCTTTTAATGTCTCACTTAACTCAATTCCTGATACTGCGCAACCTCACTCATTTATCTTCGGTAGGTAACTGCCTACATCAGACAGAGTTGATCTCCAGTGATAAGGTTTTCTCACTAGAAATCCTAGAATTTCCTCATGGAGATTTTTATTTACAGATACGACGTAGGACGTCATACGTAAGTACATCAGTTCAGGTTTCCACAACACATCAGCACAGAGACGCAACTGTCAGTTCAAATCCAACAGTGATAGCAATAATAGAAGGATTAGTAGTAATGGAGAAGATCAGGGAACGAAGATATAATTCAGTGAGATAAGTTTAGAAGGAGAAAGATAGAGATCATGGTGAATTCAGAAGGTTAGAATTAGAGAGAACACAAAGAGTGGATGCACCTGCGCCATTGCAAACGATTCTGAGCCATGTCATTCAAGGTCTCTAACCATCGGTGACTTTCGTCTCGCGGACCCCAACCAGGTAGCCTACATCTACCAACATGACACAGTCCACTTGTCAGTGACTTCATGGATTTCTGCCATGTTTTGTTTTGGCCACCCCTATCTTTCTTCCAACCTACTCCTACGCCACAAAACATAACTCGACGAGGTAGTCGGTGGTTAGGCATTCGTAACACATGTTCCCAACCACCTAAACTGATGGAGTTTCAATACTTCATCTATTGATCCGCCATCTCTACCTAGAACTCGTTTCCTAACGATAGCATTGCTTAATCGGTTGTCCCACGACACACGAGGAATGCTTCGGAGACACCGACGATCGAAGCCTAGCGACCTACGGAAGTCCTTTACTCTTACCGGCCATATTTCGCATCCGTATAGTAGGACGGAGCGAACTACTGCACGGTAAACTCGTCCTTCGTTTAGCAAGCGGTTATCTCGCCTACGCCATAGTTGACGCAGATGTTTTTAATTATAACTGAAATAACGGATGCGGTTCATGCCTACCTAATACGTTCATTAAATCCTTCAAATTAAAAAATAAATACATATTTTTCTTTTGATTTAATTTCATATTCCTTATTAATAATGTACACATTTCATCTTTGCAAAGAATAAACTAAAAAAAATATTTAATATTGTTAGTATGATAAGAAATTAAAAATTTATTTCATTAGATAATTTTTAAATTTTTAATTAAATATGGAAAAAATTTTTCAAAACCAAAAGAGAAATTTAATGATTTTTTACATTGACTTAAACAGATTAATATTTTTTTAAAAAAATTGTTTTAATTCTATTCTAGGGTTGAGTTCATTGTTTGTTCATATGTAAAGGTAGTCTCTTTGAAAATCAGTAGTTAATTATTTTTGATAATTTAAACTATTTTCATGAACTATTACATAAAAAAAAACATTTATCCACATATTTACTTACTTACTTACTTACTTATTTACTAACTAACTAACTAACTAACTAACTAACTAACTTACTTACTTACTTACTTACTTATTTACTAACTAACTAACTAACTAACTTACTTACTTACTTATTTACTTACTTACTTATTTACTTACTTACTAACTAACTAACTAACTTACTAACTTACTAACTAACTAACTAACTAACTAACTAACTTACTTACTTACTTACTTACTTACTAACTAACTAACTAACTAACTTACTTACTTACTTACTTACTTACTTACTTACTTACTTACTCACTTACTCCTAACCAAACATAGGCTGCTTGCTGACAAGAAGTCTACAACCTCTTCTGTCCTTGACCTTCCTTTTTTAGTCCTAATCAACCACTATTCATTCTTTTCACGTATGCTTCCTATTCTCGGCGTAATATAGATTCTTTAGTTTACCTCTTTTCATTTGACGTTGAGGATTATTAAGTGACAGATTACCTTGTAACACAGTAAAATGATTTCCGTAGTGTGTGTGTGTCTTATCTACTCCCAGCTCTTCTGCCTAATTTGTTCTTCAGCTAGATTCTAATTTTATTCTCTTCCACAGTAGGTTGTTCTTGATGGTGTCTGACCAACGGGTTCTCAGTATCTTGCATAGACAGCTATTTAATAAACACATGTATCTTGTGGATGATGTCTTTCATGGTATTTCATGATACATAAATCAGTATAAATTATAGTTTACTATTTGTAAATAAATATAATTATCACTCCCAGATACAAAGATACATACATTTTTAATGTGTATTTTCTAATTTCAAAAGTTATTTCATATTGAAATGGTGGAGAAAATTTTTTTAACTCAGATAAATGATTATGGTACAGTGTTTAGTCAACCAAAACTCCATCATAATTTCAAGTTTGTTTTTTTTCAAATATAGTACAGTTGATTCGACAGTTTTAAACCATGATATTAGTAACCATAAAAATGTAATTACCTGTTATAATCAGTGTAATTATTAGCATGATGATTACTTTTAGCAGTAGTATTAGTAGTATAATTTGAAAAACTATAAAAAAACAGCATTATATATGTTCATATATATATATCAGAATATTTTAAAAGAATAGACCACACAAGCATTGATGTATGTTTATACTAGTACAGGAAATTTTTATTGAAATAATTAAGGATTGAGAAAAAATATTCAGTATTGTTTGATAGATAAGTTAATATCTACATAAATTATCACTGATGAGAGCATATTTCATTAGTGAACTGATAGGAACGTTAGGTTTGTTATTTTGGTACATAAAATATTATATAGTACTATTGATATTATTATTATTATTATTATTAGTATATTAACAATAAAACAAACAGTATATTTTATCAGTAGTATATATTGAATAACAAATATATTTGATAAGAATAAAAATATATGGTTCAATGTTCAATGTTACTTTACATTGACAATAAGATAAACAAAAGAATGGGATTTATATATGTGCATATATATATATATTCTTTCGTAAGTTGTTATACTGATAATGAGGAATTTATTATTATTGAGGACTTATTGTAGACAAACTGTTGTTAGAAAAAGTTAATTTTCTACAAGTAATAAAAATTATCCTTCATTTAGTAGTTATTACTTGTAACTGA